GCAGTGAAAGTGGCTGCTGTTTTCCACATTTCCCACCTGAGTGACTTCCTAACGCTATGTGGGAAGAGTTACAGGATCATTCGCAATCCCCTGCATACCTATTACATGCGCAGTGGGGGAATCCTGTGGCATGGTAGTTCATCTCTCCTACCCAAGAAACTCAAGACTGAGGTCTAACTGTCACTCTCCTGTCACCCTCATTGAGTATTCCTAGGTGTTAGTTAGCTGGAAAGAGGCTATTGTTACTCTCCAAAGACTGTTGTTACTAAGCTAATTTTGTAGTTGGCTATGTGACAGCTACTACCTGTTCTGTATCTCTGCCTTCATGGGCCTCCTTGTTCAAGTAGTTTAAGTTACATTTTTTTAAATACTTCTAGAAAATTAATCCATGTTAGATTAGTAAACTCAGATACTTTCATAATTTTCTAGTCAGGGGAAAGCAATCAAGTGCATTTAATTCTTGGTGTTTTTGAAAGAAAAAGTAAAATTGCGTAGGAATTAATAAGAGGAAGCCTAGGCATAATCAGTTATTGTGCAGAAAGCATTTTATGTCCAATCTGTTCTCTCTGTGCAAGCATTATGCTTTCTTGCTGCTGTTTACTATTTCAGGACCCATTATAAGGTCTTCCTGAATTCTGTCAGCTTGGTTTGTAATCTCCTTGGAGAGTGGGGTCTTGTCACATATTTCACTGCCTCTGTACACCAATTAGATTAATTCCTTTTTTCTATAAGCACCCTTGATTGCCTGGCAGGTTTGCAGGAGTTAAAAAAATCCATTAAATATATGAAAAAGAACCTATTGAAGGTCACTCAATGCAAAAGGATCACCTCTAACTGAAGAAGTCTGTAAGTCACAAGTGGCTAGAAACTGGCAGAGTGAGGAAATGCAACACTACATACTGATTCCAGTGTTGTACTCTTCCCCAGGACCCTGTTATTGGTCATACTTGGAATCAGATTACTGAAATGCCCAGCAAGAATTTCATCAAAAGCAACATACTCCCCAAGGTTAGTCTAGTTTGATTTAGCACTTTTGCCAGCATTTTTCCAACCAGTTCTGTCCCTTCATTCTACTGGTTCTTTTGCCAAGAGTGACCCAGGAATGGAGACTATCCTCCTCTGCAGTTTTTTGAAGGGCAGTTTGTTTAACCAAAAAAGGAGTTTAATCATGGCACATAGTATACATCACTACAGCAATAGTATTACCAACATTTCCACAGTGACACCCATGCAAAAAAAAGTTAGACTTCTCTAACATCTGTAACTTCATTTGGGTGGTATTAATTTGCCCCTTCTGTAAGAAGAAATCTTTTTATGAACCTTAGAACTACATAAACTTTCTGAGCCTTGGTTTTGATGTAACCTTACTCAGATATGGTAATATAGTGAGTTGATGTTTATTTAAGAAATGTTAGTAGTCATTCATTTGCCTTAATGACATGTCATGTTGATTGAGCAATATAAAGGAACCCTTGCTGTATTCCACACTTTCTTCCCCTTTTTGCTTCCTGGACATTCAAATACTATTAGTATTAGTAAGATTGAAATGGCACTACGTATGTTAGCAGATTCTGTACGTGTTTTAGCCTCTCTTGTTCTTTAATGTGGTATAGAAGCTAACTTATTTTCTTAGGAAATCTTTACTAAATTAAAGATGCATTGTTTGTCAAATGAGTGACTAGTTTAGGTAAGTTGCAGCCATCATTTTTGCTTGTGGGTTGTTGTACATGCAATCTGTCAAATGATACACAGCTGTCCATATCCCTTTTTTCCCAAAATGTTGTTCAGAGATATGCCTGTGTAGTTTTTCCCTTGTGAAGTGACATGCTAACAAATCAAAGGTAATTTCAGTCTTTCCCAGTTACTCTCACTCCTGAATGCATAATGCATGTGTGCAAGCTGTGTGTTATAGACATGTGCTGATGGGATTTAATCAAAGAACTATCCTTTTTTCTTCAGGCTGGGGGATAGAAAGTTTGTGAATAAATCACTTTTCACTGCCTTCTCAGCAGGTTTATGCCTTCTGGAAGTCAAGACTCCCAGTAAGCAGTCAGTGCTTACATGACTGCAAATTAGTGCTGTCTTTTCTCCATTTTAAAGTATGCTTCTGACATTTTGATATGCTTTTACTGTCTTCTGTGGGAGAATATAAATTCCGCTGCCTTAAAAACTGCTCAACATGGAGTATGGTGGAGCTTTTAAACAATCACTGAATGAGATGCATAGAAGGAAAATACATCGTGAAAGATAAGTGAGCTAAAGTTCCTTCTGCAGACAGAGAGCCTGAATCCTTGTCTGTAAACGCACCTCTTGCAGAGGTTTAGGTGTCTGGCATCAGTTGTCCTGGGACCATGCACCCCTACTTACATACGGCTCTGAAACTGCTCCCTAGCAGTGCTTATATTTTTGCTTTTTGTGCTCTTTCCTCACAGAGGGAAGCAAAAATTTCAAATAGAAGCACTCTTACTCTTAGGCCTGTCTTCTAAGACTGTTAAAATAATCAGCGACGCAAATCAGAACAGCTTGAAATGGAACAAAACCTTCCTCTGTCTGCCTATGTTTTCTAAGCACCAACCATTGACACCAGCAGAAGTAGATAATGTGCTGATTGTCACTGAGCGTTGTGTGCTTAGTAATACAACTCCCTATTTCCTATACTAGCTCTAACATCTTACTTCCACCATCATCAGCAATTATTCATCAGTAGGGTTATTTCCCCAGCAATCTTAAAATGTGGACTGAAGAAAACAGGAGAGAGGTAAGAAATAAAGAGAACTGGTGTGAGAATTTGGCATTCTGATTTGAATTATAGTATGCTTAGTAGAGAGATTAAATTCTCCAAGTTCAGTGGAGATCAAGGAGAAAGAATGTACCAAGTTAGAGAAGGATATTTTAGGGTAGTGAGGAGGATATTGGATGGACTGTGGTGATGGAAGGAGACTGACTTAAAAGGGCTTTCTAAAGTGGAAAAAACAAATACTTATGCCATTATAGAAGATAGGAATTGTAAAGAACTCCAAGAATTTGACAGGGATAGACTGCCTAAACTGTGGTAGTAGAAAGAAGTGGTAAAAAAAAAAAAAAATAAAATCAGAGAAAGTCACAGTGAATAATTTATGGTTGAAGGAACTAGAACATGTTTAAATAATTTAACATCAAGAGATTTTGGTGTTCACAAATGTTTTCTGTACAGAAGACAGAAAAGTCACTTTTCTTATGTTTGCTTGTAATTATGTGCCTTTCCCCCTTGGTTATCTGTAAGGGTCAGGAAGGAATTCCCCCACCACCACTACACACAGTTTTGTTGCTGTCTTTTTCTCCTTCCTTTAAGGCATTGATATTTGCTGTATCTCCAGACAGAATGTGCTTTGCTTCTAGGAGTATTGAGTTCTTTTAGGTTCCTGCTCAGGTTCCTATCCTTAAGTTTTGGTCTGAGAAGGAATTCTAGCTGAATTGGCAAGGACTTCCTTTTTAGTTGTATCGTTCTTAATTTGAAGGAGTGCCACCCTAATCCAGTAATTTCTTTAGTATTTCTTCCTCTCACATAAATGTAAGAATACTACATCAGCAAGAATGTGTAGCAAGCATCAGCTTAATAACACCCTTCAGACTGTCAGGAGTGCTACTGTATTTAATATTTCTTTTGAGAGATTTTGCAACTCTTAATAATGGGGACAACTTAAAGATCATAGATTTTAAGTAAATAATTATTGCAGTTATGTTTGGCAGTACCTATTGTATTGTTAGTACCACTGAATAATCCATTATCTTCTGTGCAGAAAGTCTTTGTCAACATTAACTGGAAAAATTAGCTGAATCTTCTTTTGAAAGACTGAGTGATTTAAAAAACAAAACCAAGCCCATACTAGCTACTGTAAAGAAAATTAACTCTATCCCAGCCAAAACCCGCACAAATATGTAAGACCTTGTAGATGACAAAATGGCCACAGTCCCTGTAAGTTGTAATCACAGAACTATTAATAGGTTCGTTGTATTGTTTACTGGTAAGAATTATTGTACTTAAAATATGGATCAGCATGCATTACATACTGTACACTGAAGGCTTGTAATGCATAGATCACTAAAGGTAGGTATACATTTTCTCTGTTTTCGTTAAATTGCGGAGCTGCAGAAGATAGGTTATTTAATACCTCGACGATCAGTTTCAAAGCTAGAAGTGTTATTTGTCTTCAGTAACACATACAACTGTTGGTCTTTGCAGACATAAGCAAAGAATAGTCCTTTCCTTGAAGTGCAGAACCTGAAAAGATGCAGAGTGGGAAGCGAGTGCTAAATAAGTAGTTGCATGCTAGTCATACCCATAAAAATATTTCCTGTATGTACATTTCTTAAAGGTCATCCTCGCTTCTCTTACAAGTTTACTTAGGTGGACTTACTTCAGGCTTTGTAATGTTGCTTTTTCTGATTTTCACCAAACCTGTTGAGCTTCACACTCTGCCTGAAAGTCCAGATTTCAGAATATTAAAGGTGGCACGCTAAAGATGTAACTTACATTGCAAAGGTGATGTCGTTTGTAATAATAAACTCCTATTCATAAGAGAATGCTAGGTTAATGCTTCTAAAACTAACAGTTTATTTCATATTTTGTATTTGGAAAAACGTGATAGTTAAGATATTGCGGAAGCAGTGATGCTTGTTATGCTTTTAATAGTCTGTTCACTTAGTTGTCTGCTTATTGTACTTATGATAGTGGAGTGGTTTTGGTAATTTGATACTTAAGCCACAAAAATTGTTTGAATTTTGTTTGAAGGTTCTCTTCTTTTGTAGATAATGATAAAGTTAGGCAGCTGTACCTGGAGGGTGTACCTGTAGACTGTGCTCACAGCTTTATCTGGGACCGGGACATCTGTAAGAACGTCACTGAAAATAAAATCTCAGAGCAGGTAACTAAGAAGGTGGATTGCCATGGATAAAATGGCTAATGGTTCATAGAGCAAGACTCTTGAAACTTGTATAAATCCAAGAGCAGTAGTTTCCTAATGTCATAGTATCCAGCTGCTGAGTTGAAGTGTTTGTTTTGTAGCCTTTGTGCAATGGTTTTGCACAACCATTGTTCATGATTCAATTGAAAGAAAGCTTTATTGGATTGTCTACAGGACTAAATAGTTGTAGGTTTATTTATCAGAAGGGTTTGGAATTGGATTTTCCTACATCGCTTTGACTCATGTGCAGCAGTTAAAAGGGATGAAGTAGCACAGAGAGGCTCTGGCCATTCACTCCTCAGTCATAGGCAGGTCAGTTCTGACAAAAGAATCATGGAAGTTGGAAGGAAATAAATCCCTCTGGTTGTGAACTGCAGCACACTGTGTTGTGGGCATTTTGGGCAATACCTGTGACTTGTAGAGAGCCTTAAATGTGCTGTTACAGGTTTGAAATCTCCTATCTTGACATTTCCCTTGGCAATGGAGGAGCAACCCATAAAATGCATGGGTAAAATGGTGATTTAGTCACAAAAGGTGATAAACTTTTGGCACCATTGTAATCAAAAAGAAAATACTGGTGTGGCAGAAACATCTCGCCTGAATATTCTCTTCATGAAAATTAGTTTTGTGCTCTTTCAAATTGGCTGCCATAGTATAAAAAAGCAGAGTACTTAAAAAAAAAAAACCAAAACAAAAAACAAAAACAAAAAAAAGCCCCAACCAACCTACACTAGCGCATAACAGGTATCAGCACACTCTTCTTGTATATGAGTGTTTTTCATGCTGTCATGAAAGGTAATGTTTACCTTATAAAACAGCTGGTGCAGAAGGGACATGTAAAGAGGCAGTCTGAGGGTCTGGTTTTTTATAAATGTATTCTTAATGTGGTACAATGAAATATAACAACTGGTGATTGACAAAGCCTTGGTGCCAGCATGCTTTGTGCAAAACTGTTTTGTGACCAAATGTTCTTCCCATCTCCCTGGAGGTAGTTCAGATTTGCTCTGTGTATTGACAGACTGTTTGAAAGCACCTGTTCAGTCTAGTCTTGTGCACAAATCTATAAATATCAAGTTGCAATACTTGTTTTTCCTCCTTCATCTGTGCTGTACATTTTTGCTCTGAGTTTCAGTACCTACCCTCCATCAAGGTCAGTGGAAATAAGGAGGAGAGAAAAAAGGTGCTTAATGCTTTTTTCTAAAAACATTTTTCATGCCTCCATGAAGGTCAGTTCAAATGTGTAGCACATTACTAGTATATTTTTCCTAGTTATAAGCTCACCTTCTCTCTGTATCTTGGAAGGGTATCTAGAAGAGGGAAAATGGTTACTAACTTATTGGAAATATCTTCTCCTCCTCAGGATTTAAACCATATGAGAGCTCAGTTACTGGTACCTGGATCACACCTTGATTTGGGTCCTTGCGAATCTAAGATTCCCATACTGTTGGTGCAGCAGCCAGGGAAAATGGCTGGAGAAGATCGACCAGGATGGGGGAGTGGCTGGGATATCTATCTCCCAAAGGGCTGGGGCATGGCTTTCTGGATTCCTTTTGTAAGTGACTTTCATTGCAAATTGCAAGTAAATGTGACAAATTATACAATTTTGTTCAAAATAATCAATTTTAGAGAGTATACTTCACATTGTATAACCAATTCACAATTACAGGATCAAAATCCCACTTTAAAAGGGTGTATGAACTGGTTGATGGCACAGGCTTGGTCTTAAAGTCTCAAAAATAAACAAGAGCTTTTTATGTCTTCTGTATAACTGTACCCACATGGCAGTCTAAAGCAGGAAATCAGAGTAAGGAGAGAAGGCTGATGCTATAGCTCTTTGGTTTTGTGTTTCTAAGGGCATAGGTCTCTGAAGAGAAATCATTTGGTGTCTGCTGCTAATCCATTTCCAGCTTGGCTATCTCCATCACTCTGTCAAGAAATTGGTTGCCTCTGATTTGGGAGAGACCTTGAAACACAAAGATTGAGTTAAGCTTGAGTACTTTTCTGGTGCTGTTTGGAGCTTCCTGCTTTGAATGTCTAGATGGCAATTTTAATGTCTTTCTGCAGTTAAATTTATGCTTTTGAATGTGCAGGGGGATTAATTGCAGTGATACCTATTGTACAGTTAAAATAAATTGGGCAGTGACTTTGTCAAAGTAATATGACATTCCTGGCAACATACAAGATCAGAACCTGTGAAATTCTCTTCAGTTTTGTTGATAGTTTTTTCAAAATTAAATTTAAAGATCATGACTAACGTTTTTGTTGAAATGAGCATCTAGAACTGTGAAAACCATACTTAAGTTTATTTTTTCGAAAGCTAAAGTGGTAGACTTTCCCTTTTCTAAGGCAGTTGCTTCTGGAGTATTAATGGTTTGGGTTTTTTTTCAGTTAGGAACCTGGAATCAGTACAAACACTGCTTTTTTGGGTTTTGGTTTTTATAACAGATATATCGAGGTGTACGAGTCGGTGGCTTGCAAGAGGCTTTAAAGCATTCTGAATATCAAAGAACACCTCACACTCCAAATGATTTCCCAGACTGTCAGGCGGGAATGCAGTTCGCCAAAGAACTGGAAACCAGTCTTCTTGAAAAATTCAAACGGTAATATCAAATTCAAAATTGATTGCAAGAATGAAAAAAATGAATACTGCTTAAAATATGCCCTTAATTATCTGTTGTGTTCATTTAGACTTGGACTTCAGTAAGATCTTTCACTAGTGTTTTAAATCCTAATATTATAAGAAAGAAAAGAATCCTAGGTGTATTTAACAGAAAAGCTCTGCTAAGCTGGATATAAATTAACTAAAACCTTCTATTCCCAGAGGTATGCTCAGTTATAAGGCTGTAACAAGGCTGCATAACAATGAAATAAACAAAGCTATTTCAAGCTCCCTTAGCAGCAAATGAAGGGAGGACGTAGGAGAAGGCAAAGGCAGAATATCAAAGTATGTACTAAGCGTTAAAGAATGAAGTGAAGAGGTACTATTTCAGTGTCCACTTTTTAAATACCAGGTATTCTGAAGTTTGCCTTCATTTTCACTACAGTAAACATAGAACTCTTAACCATGAGTATGTGGTAGCTGGAAGTGTCCTCTGCACCAACTGCTGTTGGCTCCCCTTCCAGCTAGGAGGGGGAAGTAGGAGAAGTTTAGAGGAAAAGGTGGTGGTGTCAGTCACAGTAGATAGAAATATCCAGCATGGCTGAAAGGATATGGTGGTCAGAAATACAGCAGTGTTGTCTAGAAGTATAACTTTAAAATTCTTCCTCAGTGGGATTACAAAGGGAATGCACAGTTAACTTCCTGTTCTAAATACTTTGGTTTGAAAACAGAAAACATTATTAGACCAGCAGGACAAAGTAGACAGCCTGTTGAAGTGCTAGGGACTGAATATGGGCCCAGAAAACAAATATTCTTACCTACTTGATTTATCATTCAGACGTCCACCTGCAAAAAGGGCAAATTATGTCAAGCTGGGCACTTTGTCCCCTTTCATCTGTCCTTGGGGGCAGCTGACGAAGAACTGGGAAGGAAGAATGAAAGCTTCAGGAGAATTTGTACATCCTTCTTCCCCACACTCTGAGTGCTGCGCAACTGAAGAGCATAGCTTTTGTGACCCCAAAGCAGAAGTGGTCCAAGAAGCTGGCCCTGAGACTGGTGAGGTAGAGGAGACCATGGAAATAACAAGCTCTGAAGGTGTCGTAAAGACAGAGGATGTTACAAGCACCCAAGACTTTGTTGAGAGAGATGAAACTATGACAACAAATGACTTTATTGTTCTCAGGTATGTCAAAATGATATATGCATGGGAGGTGTTCTTTCTTTATTGGGAATTTTTGAATTGGGGAAAGGAAGAGCTCAGCCTTGATTATTAAGATGAGAGAATTATTTGATCCAGATACAGTGAGGAGATTAGTTTTGTTGTGGATCAGAATTTGCTGTTGAGTGGAAGTCTTTCTCCTGCTTTTCCCCAGCAAACTTGGTGACTAGATGAAGTAAACTTCTTAAATTATCTTAAATTTAACACTCTTGAGTTTAATGTGTTCTTGGAATTGGCATATTCTGTCTGCTTCCAGGTGGATGAAGCTTTTAGAGGCTCATATTTGTGATTTTAAAACTGTTGCTGTGTAAATAAGCTTGCATTCTCTTTTCTAATATATCATCACAGGTGTTTCTTGCACTACTTAATAACGTCTATAAAGAAAACAGAGAATCCCCTGCATTCCAGTGCAACACATGAGGGCAGCAACAGTGTTTGGAAAGTGTCTGAATGCAGGTCTTTCATTTTTGTGTAGTTATCAGGGGAAGAAAACATTGGCAGTTCTGGACTGCATTAATGTCACTGAAGGTTTTAGAGCATTTAACAAGTTTTGGGGGTTTTAACAGGTAATGTCTCCTTCTGAAGAAATAGCCTTGCACATGAATTCCACTCACCCATGTTCTTTTTGTGCTCAGAGTGATACAAATACCAGCTTGGAAGGTTGCAGAAAGCCCCAGGGCTTTTTTTAATCGAGCTCTTGCAAATATGCAGGGTGCTGGATTTGTGTTGTACTTACTTGTTAATAGCTATCCTTGATGTTTATTTTTAAAAACTTTTAATAGGAGTGAGAAACTACTAATGCAGTTATCAGCCTGGTGCTATCCCACTGCTGGAAAAGATCGGCGAGTCCGCCTTATTTCTCGACTGGGGCAGAAGGAAATGACTGAAGATGTGTTTTTGCCAATCTTGATGAGCTATCCAAGGGCTCTTGTATGGGTCAACTTGTCTCTCCTGAGAAAGGGGAATCCTGAATTACATGCCATGATTTGCATCCCAACAGAAGATGACTTGCTGCATCTAAGCAAAGACAAACTCTTCTGTGGTCCTCAAGAACCCAAACATCGTGACATATTCAAGCACAAGGTACAGAAACTAAAAGAGGAGAAGAAGAAAAAGGGTTACACAAAGGCTCTAGAAAGTGACCCCCTGAGCGTTCCAGATAAAGAAACAACTGAGGCACATGAAGACCTAATTCTTGGTCTTTGGTCAGACATTCTCCCAGATGTTACTTCCCACTGCTCCAGAACTCTCTTGGGATATGTCACTCGAGGGGATTTTTCATTGGCTGCAGGCTGTGGAGAAGCACTGGGTTTTGTTAGCTTGACAGGGTTACTTTATATGTTACACAACCAGCCAGCAGATAAAAAAGGGCTCGTTTTGTTAAGAACTCCAGCATCTTTACAGTACAGATTTGCAAGACTTAATATTGAGGTTTAAGTATCATTGCAATGCAGTAGAATGCCAAAAATACCAAAGAATGTCTGTTTTGTCTTCTGTGGCCTTTCTGGTATGTCTCAAATTTGAGGTGATTGTGAGCCCCACATCATCTTGAGGATTATGAAATAATTAAAAAGCTTCATAGCATTATTAATGAAAATAACTAATGCATAGACAGACTTAATAATTACTTTTGATGTCTGCATTGATAAGGATTTCTAACAGTGACGCATCCGTTGTCGTAATCTTCTTCATCTCTAAAGAAGCATATTGTTCGTTTTTCACCTCAGAGCAGTGGATGCTATAACAATACACAGAAAAACATTATTTTCCTCTGAGAAATCTTTTGGTCAGATGGATTGTAACTTTCCAGTGCATTGTTCACATGTAAGTGCATGTGGTCTGGACCAGTGTATATAGCAAGTGGCTTTTCCTGATTCTTTGTGTCTGAATGCATGTGGCTGCAGTGGAACAGAGCTAAGTAGACCTATTATATAATATTTTGTTTCTATTAAGAAAGCAGAAGGGTACGTACTTTGGTGGAACAGCTCTGTGCTTAAATGAAATGCAAATAAAACATAGCCCAGCTATATAATCTTGAATTATAATAACTGGAGCTCTTAAATTGGAAAGCATATCAGTCCTCTCTAGTCTGAGAGAAAACTAGTTTTGAAAGGTAGTAAGCCTTTCAGTTGCAAATTGCTGTTGATGGGTCAGCATACATTTTCTGTTAATCATAGAATCGTTTAGGTTGGAAAAGACCTTTAAGATCATCCAGTCCAACCATTAACCTACACTACCAAGTCTACTCTAAGCCAATCAAGGGTAGACTAGACTAAACCATGTCTCAAAGTGCCACATCTACCCATTTTTTGAACACTTCGAGGGATGGTGACTCCACCACCTCTCTGGGCAGCCTGTTCCAATGCTTGACCACCCTTTCCATAAAGAAATTTTTCCTAATTTCCAACCTAAACCTCCCCTGGCGCAGCTTAAGCCCATTTCCTCTCGTAATAATAGGGGATATTTTGGTTCCTTAAAACACAAGGTTATTTTTGTACAGAATGTGCTAGGATTGAAGGTTTCATCACTTTACTGTATGGTTTATGAATGTTGTTCAAATTCATAAAACTTGTACAGTATGCTGGAGGGGTGAGGGGAGAAAGGTGTTTGATTTGACTGAGGTGTCGTGGGTTGACTGGTTGGGTTTGGTGTTTTGTTGGGGTTTTTTTAATGATAGCCTTAAGCTTCTAGCCATTCTTGAGTTAAACAGCTTGAAAACGAGTTTACAATAATACACTGTAGTTTGGTAGCAGCATGATACAAATGTATACCAGTTGGTAAAATTACCCTGAAACGATCATGTACAAATAAAAATCTAATCTATTCTTGATTCAGGAGTCTACTGACTAAGCTTGATTCTTTAAGAAATTAAATGTGGATCAGTTAATGTCTTAGTCTTTCTAAGTATCAGTCTGGAAATTAATTCCCTCATTCACGGTTTTGTTTGAAAAAGTCTTAGTTGAATAGATTAATGTTGTTTCGAGTTGTTTGTTGGAGGAAGGATTTAGAGTGCTTTACCTTCACAATTATTAAAATTTAGGGCCATTGTTGGATTAAACATGGCACACACATGTGGAAGGGGGCACAACATCTCTGATTCCAAGGGAAGTATGGGAAGTGGAGCTGGATTTTTGTTTCAGTCTTCAGAAGACTTGATTTAAGAATCATGTGCCAGTTGGAGTTATGGCGGCATGTGGGATGGAAGACGCAGCCTCCAGCACAGCTTGGACTACAACTCCCTGAGAAATCATGCCTAATGGCTCCAGCATCACTCATCTTTGATGCACCTGATAAAGCAATCATTGTCCCAGAAGGGTCCCGAGAAGCATCTGCACAAAAGCCGGCAGATGGCCCCAGAGGAAAGAGCTTGATTCTGCACAGGGCTGGGATTCACATGCTCCTCGCTGTGTGACCGTGAACGCTGCAGCCTGTAGGTATGCCACTTAAACATTACAGCCTGGCTGCTCTGATCAAGTTCTCTTGGGATAATAATCCTGGATTTAATGAACCTTTTGAATTGTGAGCCCGATTGAAATATTTCTAGGATCAGAGTTTCCAGACCTGTGCTTCATGGGAAGAAAGGAGGGGAGGTGATGTTTATATGGCTTTTTTCCCCACTTTGTCTCCCTCATCTTCTTAGTAGGTAGATATTTTCTTGCCTCACTAGACCTGGCTTGTATGTGAGAAAGAAAGAGAAGAGGCCCCCCACCCAAGCTATCATTTTTTCTTTTCTGCTTATAGATCTTTTGTTCACTGAATCTTTCCCAGGTTTTTATTTTTTTTAAAAAACATCTGGAGTCTTTTTTTCTTTTCTTCTTATTGGTAATTTCTGCCAGGTTTTCATTTTGACACTTCCTGTTACTTTTCTTTGATTTCCATTCTCTATTTCTGATTTATGATCCTTCTCTCTGGTGAGCCAATGAACAGAAACTGGAATCCAAGTGCATCCTGTTCTGGATATCTTGTAATATTGTTACACAGTTGTTTTCCTTTAAGTCAATGATTTATGCCTTAAGACTTCGCTCTCCTTGTAAAATGCACTGCAAGCCCGATAAGTTAAAAATGCTCAAAACTCTCAGCCAAAGTTTGTCAGAAAAATACTGTGACTTTATGTAGCTGCAGGGAAATTTTTATCTGTGGTTGGGATTTCCAGATTCTGAGCGTCTCAAGGGTGACTTAGTCATAAAAACCATGTCAACACCGGATAATCAAACTGTGGGTAATTAAACCTGTGTTATCTGTGCATCAGCTGGACAGTATGTCTGTGTTCATCATGTTGAATCAGGTGTAGTTTGCAGCACACATCTGTTCTTGGGCTGTATCTTACTGCAGTTACTACCCATTGGTTAACTACCCCAGAGCATCTGGATCAGCTCCCATGGGCTCTGATACATGAGCATTTTTGGGAACCCAGGAAGCTTTTGCTCAGTGAAAGAAGCTCTCACGAGCTCTCTGGCTCCCATGCTGTTCTCTAGATAACTTTCTCAAAATGGATGCCAGCACAAACACTTAGCTTTCATTCCTTGCTTGGCAAAAGATTTTGGAAGCTGATGTGAAGCACAGAAGGCAATTCCGGCATTATCTGTAGCACTGTGAAAAGCTTGAATGCTACCGCGCTGCTCCTGTCACTCTTCCTACGGCTCCCTCAGAGCAGCTGAGTAAATACTGTACCTGAGACTCACCTGGTGAAGGGTCTTTTCCCAGCCTGAACCATGATTTACATGGTACTGCCTGCTATGTTAAGACAGGCGCAGTGACTGATTGACCTGCCAAGCTGAGGGTCTCATGGCTCTGAGATGCATATTCTTTACCATTGCAAATCCAGAAAATGAGGTTGCAGAAGAGGGTGGTGATTACTCTGTGGAATGAGGTGAGGTGGGACCCTGGCCAGACTGTTGTGTGTTTGTTAAAAGACGTTCAGGGCAATCTGTTTGTTTAGCAGTGCGTAAGTAATGGAAGAAGTTACCTGGCAGAAAGGCAGCTGGGGTTGTTGAAACAAATCTGGGAAAATAATTGGCAGAGTGACAGCCCTCTCGACAAGAGGTGGAAGCCTTGGGGGATCATGGCACATGCAGACAGAGGGTAGTCAAATGTAGTATGACAGTTTTCTTTCAGTGCTCTAAATCTGGAAGAGCCCGATATGTCAAATCCGATCCATTCACATGTCCATGTGAGATAGGTAGTAGGAACAGAGCTCAGGGGAGTAAACTACCAAAGGCAGCTTTCTGAAGTGCTAAGACTGAGAAGAGCAGAAAAGCAATAGCATTGTTTTATTTTCCAAAAATACAATATGCAAAAAAACCCAACCCCAAAGTCCCATGCTTCTAAATGCTCTAAATGCTAAATAGGTCAACAATCTAAATAGCATCCACAGTTTACCTCTTGCAAATTCAACTCAGCTGTACTAAAATTCTTCTTTGTGAACACTGGTCTCATCAAATCCCTGCAAGAGCCAATAAACTTGTACTGCATAATGAGAACTCTGGGAAAGGACAGAGGAGATGGGCTGAAACCATTTTGTGGCCGCGTGAAGGTCAGAGCCTGCTTGACCCTGCAGAAAATAAAATTAATGAGTTCAAGGTAGTTTGCAAAGTAGGTGGGGTGACAAAAGAACAGAATAGACAAAACACAGCTTCATTTATTGCATTGGGTCTCTTCTTAAAGAAATACATTTTCTTCTATAGTAGGAAAAATGCCTACACAGAAAGATTTTTTTTTTTTAAATTTTTTTAGACACTCCAAGATGTGCATTACATCTACCACCATCAGCTTGCTTGACACATTTTAGCTGTCTTTTCATCATGGGCTTACAGCAGTGCTGCTAATCTGACAGCCTTCCACAGCTAAGCCCAATTCTTAAGAAATAGAAATCAAAAAGACATCCAGGACACAGCAAGAGTAAAGCAGAGAATGAAATAACAGTCTGAAAGAAGAGAGTGGCTCAAATTTCATGATGCAAATTTGTGAGGGTTTGCTGTAATTTCTAGAAAGGATGGTGAAATTCAATATTTCATTTAATCTCAAGAATATCAAATAGATAGCCAAGATGAGAAAGGCTGTTTGTTTCAGCTTAGTCCTTCTCTCAACATCCTGTTTCTGAGCCTAGAAATTTTTTTCTTTTAAAAAGAATACAACAGTTGTGACGGATGGGAGAGCTCAAGCATCTGTAAACCAATGTGCCTGTCAGGGCTCACTCTCACAGATCACTTCTCTTAATTTCTGTGTTTGTTCTTTTTTTCACGTTGGGTAATTTCAAAAAGACTCTTGTCTTCTTTTTTTTTGGTTTTTTGTCTTTTAGCAAAAGGATGAAGTGAAGGTAAACTTGGACAGGCAAAACCTGTGTTACTTAGAGCTTTATCATTCAAAAAAGTTTAAATGCCACCTCAGAAATAAGCCACCTCCTCCTCCCCATTTGAGACACCCCATTTGTTTTAACTGTGGCTCTAGTGAT